CACTAATAAATCTTTAATTGAGTGAGCCTTTAAAGTTGTTCTTAAAAATTGGAAAATGACTTCACATAATTTGTTCTTTATTTATTCAACTTTTGGATGTAAATTATAGTAAGCTTAGCTATGAAGAAATTGACAAATAATTAAAGGGAAAAAAAAGGGAGATTCTTTAGGTGAAAATGACGTAAAGACTAAAGAGTACTTTAAAGTAGGGTTTCTAAAAAGATACTCCTAGATTACTAATTATGATGAGTTGTGATTCGAATTCCAAATTATTTTAATCGGGCCCCACCCGATAAAATAAAGGTTCATGCTAATAATTTACGTAGAGAATACTTCCAACTTCTATTTAAAGAGACTTTCTATTGGATTATTATAAGTATGTAATTAGTGGTAAGAGCTTTTTGGTTCTTTTCTATCTCTTTCTTTCCTCTTTCCTTCTATTAAAAAAAAAAAATTAATAATTGGAATTTCATATTCTAGGAGATTTTTTGATCTACCAGGTATAATTCTATTTCAAATTGAATTTAATTTTTAAGATCAAACTATTATCAAATACATATACCATAATATGTTCATTTGAAATTAGTTGGTAGATTGTACGGATTTTTCATATAATTTATAATATTGTAATACGGTATAGATGTACCTTTACTTGTTATAGGTTTGTTGTTTAATCTCTTCTAATTATCACTTATATTTTATAAATACCGATATTTTAAAAATGAGTCAACTTTTTTCAAACATCTTGAAGTAGTACATAATGCCATAAATGCTAGGGTATTATGCATAGCTGATTAGTTACAATATTTTGACATGAACTAGTCCATGTTATTGCCCTTATTGGTAATATATCGTTACATTATTTTTTCATGGACATGTTATAATATTGTGCATCTTTTCTTATGCCTAATATATAGTTACAATTTTATTTATTTTTTTATGAAAACTTGTTTACATTATTTTGACATGTACAGATGTACTTATATTAATATGAACAAATGAAGCAGGACATTATCAATAGCTTTGCAACTGGAGGAGGATTTGATCAACAAACAATTTCATGGTATCAGAATTTCACCCCGCAACAACCCTGTCTCTCTGCGACGATTGATTCGCAATCATCCATCTGTGGTATGATCATATTTATGAGAATGAATTGAAGAGTGTAGTATAATACTTGTATATAACATGTTACAATATTGTTGCATGTGATGGTGTAACAATAATAATGTGTACTGAATATAATGTAAAATGGTTGAACATTACTAATTAATATTCCATTCAATGTGCGTGCAGCTGGAAGTCCAACCTCAATTCTTATTAAGCCGAAAACAGGAGATAATCAAGGAAGTGGTTCATCAGAAGAAGATGAAGAAGAGACAGAGGCCGGTCAATGTGAACAGAGTGGCGATGATGGTATTGATGTAAAACGCCAACGAAGGTATATAAGTATTATTTTTGCATTAGTACATATGTTTGTTAAGAACAATTGATAAGAGTATAAAACATATTACTGGGCCTATTTGTAGTGGATCGGAATTTCAATGTATGATCTCTAGGGTCATGAGGTATGAATGCTGTGAAATATGTACAGCAACCAACCTTAGTACTATAATTTGATTATATGCAAGTAGAATGACCACATAAAATGTGCAATAACATAATACATTAAATGTTTTCACGATGAAAAAAATAGCAGATTAGCTAATATTGTGTGTGATATATTTTAGGATGGTTTCGAATAGGGAGTCTGCTCGTCGTTCCAGAAGAAGAAAACAAGCACATCAGCAGGAGTTGGAAGTTCAGGTGACATATGCATTACCATTCTAGTAAAATTTTACTGAGTATTACGAACTGAACGAATACAGAGTTTTTCAGTTGAAATCTGTCATTAGTAGCTAATTGAAATTGTCCAACTGAACTTACTGATGTGTGATGTCGGTCCAAGGTTTTTAGTTAATTGACTGAGTTAATTCTGTTTTGGCATTAATTATCTTTATTTCATCTAGTATTAATGTTAATCAATCTTTAGTTCTGCTTAATAGACTGACCTTGTGACTGTCTACTGTAATTTGCACTGATCTTTGAATAAAAATCTAGCTATTATCTCTGTGTGTTTAATGTGAATATGAGTTCGGAATTTAACAATTGTTCTGTTTTATACAGGTTGAGCAACTTGGTGTAGAGAACACTACACTCTTCAAGCAGCTGAACGAGGCAGCTCAGCAGCTCAGAGAAGCCACCACAAACAACCGCGTGCTCAAGTCAGATGTGGAAGCTCTGAGAGCCAAGGTAAAGAGACATATTATTAAGCTCCTTATTAGCTTGAAATACTAACTACTACCCCCGTTAACTTTTAGTTGCAACTTTGGGGAGATGTAAAATATTCCAAAGTTCCAACTAAATTAGTACAAATTAGTACTGCAAATTATTATGAATGACAACATATGATCGAAAATTCAGGTGAAATTAGCAGAGGACAGGGTTACTCGAGGCACTCTGAATCAGCTTCTTCAGAGTACTAATTTGGGATCAAATTCACTTCAAATGTCAGGCAGCACCCAAAACATGTCTTGTGTGACGAATGTCACCCCAACAATCATGGTGCAAGGACAAGACTCGTCGTTTGATGGGGCGTTTTCGTGGCAGAATTCCAATGATCATTTGTTGCCTGGAAGTGCTAGTAGTGGCCTAATGAGTGACAGTACAGTTAGCTGTGGCGGTACTAGCTGTGTGACAGGAATTTCGAGTGTATTATGTAAGTACTCCTAGATGGTTTTTGTGTTCTAGGAAGGTGATAGAAAGAGGGAAGTATCAAGGGTTGAATAATAACAATAATAAGTCTTGTAAGTTATTAAAGCTAGAGTTCGTTGTATGTGTATGTTACTGCTGCTGTTGTTGTAAGCTACCTATTCTATGTAATTTTGTGTACGAGAGTCAATATATTAATGGTTCACTTGGCTGGTTTAATATATCTGAATTAGTCAAAATAAAAATGGGAAAAAAAATAAGGGGATCAAAACTTCTAGGCTAATTTATAATCACCTAAAAATGTGCTGAGTATACAGTATACAGTATCTGCATTTGAAAATCTGAGAATTGATACTTTCATTATTCATGATAAGTTGGATACTTATAACTTGTCAGTTGTATGATAGATTTACACTAGATTACTACATAATAGTATGATCATTGAAGATGTATGAAAGCCAACAGGCATATGTATCAAGAATTTGCACAATTCAAGCAAGTGAGAAATGTATGTCACATCTATCCGGCCCCAATGGCTTGAACCCCCTATGTTATGTGAGTATGTGACAAAATGCTTGTTCCTGAGACACATTTTCTATAGCTCTTGAAAAGAGTGGAACAATTGACAAAGAATTATGAACATACAAATCGTGTTATGCGTGCATATTTGTAGTTTTGACCTCTCACAGATTACATGCCAATCCAGTCTAAGTTTGCATGCTAAACTCGTTAGGAGTATAAAGATAGGAGAACTGGATGGATAAGGAAATCCTCATCCCAAAGAGTCTCTAATGGGATTCTTTCTTTCCCATAATTTAAATCATAAGGTCAAACCCTTATCCCGAGGTCAAACCTTGCTTGATACAAATTATAGTAACTAAACCTCGAGAGTATATGTTGATAATTCTTGGCCTATTATTTGAAACAGCATAAACATCTAGGACCTGTTCAGTTCAGCTCCAATCAGTTCAGTTCAGCTCAGTTTCTAATTTCCTATTCTCATAAACAATTCATTTCAGCTCTATTAAATTCCGTTATTTCATTTGTTTTCAGTAATTCGGAACAGACCCTTAGTGTTTCGGGTTATTCGTGATCAATCCTCACATAAATATATAGGTTAGTTCGTTTTAATCCAGAATCAACAATTCTTGTCTATTTTGATCTATGCATATACAAAAGGTAGGTGTTTAATTCGTTCGTTGCCAAATACAAGTAATAATTTGATATTGCCAACTCAATATTAGCTAGTAATTAAGAAACTACTCCGTATAACATGTTGTGGTCTTAAATTCCAGTTAATAAATAATTAGTAGTACGGAAGTAGCGTAACATATTACGATATTCCGAAACATGAATCATACATCTGTTGTGCACGAGGAGGAAGAAGGAGAGGACGAGGCTGAAACATGTCACGAAGTCATGAGTTCAACAGCTAAAATGGGATGCCTTCTGGCTGTTAATTAATCTATCATTTGTCAGAACTCATTGCTACAAAGAGTACAAACTACAACGGATCTTTTTATTTCTTATTCTTATTACTTTCTTTTAGATGCATCACTTTTGAATTCATGGACTCTTAAGTAGTTTTTTTTAGTACATACAGATATAATATGAGATAGATAGAGAGAATTCATTAACTAAAATAAAAAGTGATGCATTTAAAAAAAAATGAAAGACATATTACTATATTTATACTTCGTATTATTGTAAAATGCTTATTAGTTATTACCGAGTAACATTCACTTGTTGGATCATCAAACAATGACTGACGACTCACTTGTAGTCTTAAGATTCTTTCCTCAAATTGGAGAATTGGGGTTTGAATCATTAAGTAAAGGTGCTGGGTAAGAACTGTTTCTAAGTGATTTTTTATTCTTTATTAAGATTTGGGCTGAGTCATTTTCAGAAATTATGGTAAGGGTTATCTCAAATAATTTCCTTTATGTGGCTAAGGTATATCATGATGCTAACGGGATAGCATAACACAAGTGAATTTGGTGTACTTAGAATATTAAGGGTATGTCAAAACCGAAATAAAATGAAAGTGTTGAGAACTTTGTAAAATAAAAGTAAATGAAAAATGTTAAGAACTTTATGAAATAATAGTACATGTTAATAATAATATTAATATGTATAAATTCATACATTTTCTTTTGCTGAATTAATTAAGCCTAAAAAAATTAATTAATTAAGTTTTATTTCAAAAAAAAATAAATTAATTAAGTCTAAAAAGGTTGATGAAGAAGGACAAAAGCTAAGTTTTAATTCATTGCACATCATCCGACCCCTACCTCCGACTATGAAAGTTGGGGTCGTTGAGTATTGAATTCCAAATCTTACAATTAAAAATTGTAAACTCAACCAATAAACAAAGTTATTTTAAATTTGACTAGAATTCATGAGATTTTTTTTTGAAGGAATACATTTCTTCATGTATACCCATTTTTCCAAGTATGTTGTAAATTAACCAAAAAATATATAAAATAAAAGTATGTCAAATAATAAATTGGCTAATTTTGTTGTATATCTTACATAAATTAAGATGAAATAATATTCCATTATAACATTTTTAAAATGAAAATCATCCCATCATCAATTCAAATTCATGGAAATCAACTTTTCCATCAAGATTAAGATCAACCACCTTAATCATCTTCTCAATTTCATTCATATCCCATCCATTATCCAACCCTAAACATGCTAAAACCCTCTTAATCTCTTTTGCATCAATAAAACCATCTTTATCCTCATCAAACACCAAGAAAGCTTGTCTAAGGAGTTGTTGCTTTTCTCTCTTCTCTTCCTCCTCTAGCTCCATTAGGAGCACTTCATTCGCCTCGAGTTGTTCTTCTAGTACATCAAAACTCGATTCTTCTTCTTCCTTGACTAACCCTAGTTGCTTTACCACATTACAAGCCTTCTCTTTGGCTATTCTTCCATCTTTGTCCATGCCAAACACGGTTATTAACGCTTTTGCCCTTGTGTCGTTGGCTTGTGCTACATTCTTCTTGCATGGGGTTGCAAGGGTAGGACTGGAAATCGAATTTCGAGCATTCGAGTGAGGAACTACTCCTAGGGATGGTACTACATTGCTTACAAGCATTTGGTATACCTTACGAATTCCTAACATATTGAAAATAATAGAAAGAAAAGAATAAAATTTGTAAAAAAATAAAAAGAACAAGAATTAAAGAAGGTTTTAGGTTAGAAGAATAGTAGATTTTGTCTTGGTTTTTAGTTTTGGATGTTCACTACATTTATATAGTGGAAATTTTGGTAACACGTACACCATTGGTGTGTTTCCTAACAATTTCTTCCCACTATATGCCCAATTATTGAGGAAAGGTACAATTAGTATTATTAATTATCATTATCTTAATTTTAATTATGTTTACCAAAATATTCTAAGAGCATTAATTTGCCTTGTCGAATGGGATATGAACTGGATTTTAATTAGTGTATATAAAATATGGTTTATTATTGTGTGACTGCAAGAAAAATGGTATATACATCTAGCTTGATACTATAATTAATTAACAAAGAATGTGAAGATGGGTCATGTGATAGTGGAATAATGGATGTATATCTTCACTAATGAAATGGAATATTGGTAATTTAGAGATTAAATTAATCAACTAATTAATAATCAAGGGCATTTGTAAATTGGTGGTACATCATAAGATAATAGAAATGTTGGTATAACAGTTAGTGTGACTTGTAATCGAGTAACTCCTTGCATTGAAATGGTAAGAAAAATTGTATATTAGTTAATTAGTTGATTTGTTTGATTCGTCTCATCAATTATCGTACGTATAAAAAAAACTCAATTGTATTACACCAAATTGAAATATAATTTTTTCATGAAAAAAGTGAATCAATTACGGGGTTGTTAATACTATTCCATACTGTTAGAGGATTAACTCAACCAAAAGCTTAAGCTGATGGTTGAGGCCCAGGAATATGTTTTATACTTTAATTCCACTTTGAAGGAGGGGCAGATGAGATTCGAACCCGTGACCTTTGTGTCACGCCGGCTCTGATACCATGTTAGAGAGCCAACTCAACCAAAAGTTTAAGCTGATAGTTAAGGCCCAAGAATATGTTTTATACTCTATCACATACGTACCTCCATAGTACATAGCTTAGGCATATAGTTCGTACATCGCTATTAATTTGCATCATATGCTCCACTTTGTATGAATTGTACAGAGTATTACCTAACAATTTATTAGTTAAAACTCTTCCTTCCTACCTTACCCCACACTTTTGTACTTGTGCACTTTAGTGCCTATTCTAAAACTACGGTAATTAACGTCACTTCTTTTGTATTGTCTATCTTAGACTAAATCCTTTATTTTAGGGCCTTTTCTCATTAACTGAAATGAGCTGAACTGAACTAAACTTATTAGAGTTGAACTGAATTGAAATGAATATTTTATGAGAAAATGAAATTAAAAGCTGAACTGAACTGAAATGAATATTTTATGAGGAAATAAAATTAAAAGCTGAACTGAACTTATTAGAGCTGAACTGAATTGGACAGAACTGAACTGAAAATAATATGATGAGAACATGCCCTTATACTCCTTAACTGAATTTGGATCATACAATACAACTTAGCTCGAAGTGAACATGGTTAATAATTTGTATAGAATATTATATCAAGAAGAACTAATTAACACTAAATATGACTCAAATCGATCCAATACCTAACAAATCTACTCATCATCAAATATGATTCACTCTAAATTGATCAAAACCAAATTAATCTGGATCAAATGCCCCGTTCGCCACCTTTACCCTTCCGACAAGACCAATACATTGAGCAAAACATGTTAAACTATACCCTAATCCATGAGACTCGAACCAACACACGGACATTGAATATATTGAAAAGATCATTTGTTAACTTTCATTCCTTTTTTTTTTTGGGTTGTTTGTATGAAAGTCATAAATCATCTTCATTCAATATATTGTCACTGAAATTGAAACAAAAATTATCCCTAGTCCGACAATAACGTTGAATTGATGCACACAAATTAAAGGCAAATATACGTTGAACAGAAACATATAAATCTACATTGTATGATTTCTTGTCACCTACGTATTTAATTAATTTCACATAGAAAGTGGAGATCCGACTACATGTTGCCTTTACTAAATAAGTGCAAAAACAACTAAGCAAACTCAGAAAATCCACAAAATAAATAAATAAATAATTTTAATTTTCTGATGGACCTTCATTTTCAGTGTCAGTGTGTTTAGTGACAACCCATTTTATATTCCATGCACCTCAAGGTCCAACCTATTACCTTCCATGAAGGAGGTATTAAAACGACTATGATATTCATCCTTGTTATTGAATATAAGGATTTTTATGTATTTTAATTTTATATTGATATTCCGTATTAGGCTCTGATCTCTTCACCTTAAAAAAATAATATTAAGGAAAAATAATTTCAATTTAGTAAAATAATTTCAGTTCAATAAATTATTTTCAGTTCAGTAAAAATAAGTTCAGTTCAGGAAAATTCAGTTTTCTTAAAGAAGAATTATAATAGAAAATCAGTAAAAATAATTTCGATTCAGCAAAAATAATTTCAGTTCAGTAAAATTAATTTAAGTTCAGTAAAAAATAATTTAAGTTCAGCAAATATAATTTTGTTTCAATAAAAATAATTTCAGTTCAGCAAAAATAAGGTGAAGTGAACGGGACCTTACTTCACCTAATTTTTACTGAACTAAAATTATTTTTACTGGACTTAAATTATTTTTACCGATTCTCTACTGTATTTCTTTTTTAACGTTACTAATATTTACTGAAATGAACTTATTTTTACTGAATATTATTTTTATAAGGTGAAGTGAACAGGGCCTATAGATTTTTAAAAAATATGTATATAAAACACAGTGTGTATCGAGCGTTGTTATTAACTAATGTTTAATAATTCTTATATATAGTTAATCAAATTGGCGAAAATAATAGTCGAAAACGTTTTATAAGTCCTTAGGGATATATATGAATATATCTATAGGGAGCTTGATTTTTCATAATTACGTAAATTAAAATCTATTTTTAAATGTGTTTAATGCTTATACATAGCTGTTCCTGCAAGGATTCGACAACCCGATCCAAAAGTCCAAAGCACGAGTACGCAACCCGTTAAGCTCCTATCGGCCAGAAGAAAACCTACACAAAGAGAAAGGATTAGCTAACCCTGGGGTATTCCAGGGATAACCGCTCCGATGACAAAGTCAGTTTGTGATGAAGAAAGAGAATTTAGAGAGAGAAAGAGAGAAAGAGAGAGAGAGAGTGTCATTCATTCCCTTCATTAATGGCTCCTAACCTACTATTTATAATAAATACCAAGACAGGTGGCTACAAAGCATGCAAAGCCTTTCTTGCCAAGTGTCAACCTGTTGTTGCCACGTGCCGAATACCGACAGGCCGATATGCCTGCTTTATCAAACATATCTGCCCATTTATCAGCTCTTCTAGGTTCAGGTCCATATTGGTAAAAGATGTCTGCCCATTTTACATATCTTCCCATACAATAGCATTTAGGCTACATGTAGCAAATCCGTATCTTTTAGTATATAAAGATCATGGATAGTAGTTTGGTTTAAATTACTAGAATATATGTTATTAAAAATAAAGATCTAAAAAACCATGGCACCATCTCTTGGCATGTACTAATAAAAAGGCCACCATACCAAATGCGCAAGATACAAGCTAGCTGCCAAGACGCGTTTTCTACCTAAACTTGTTTCCTCTACCCTTTTTCCTTTTTGTACGTTACAGCTCATTAATCATTGATTTATTATAATTAATATTTTACTACGGAGTAATTATTATTTATTGTCGGATTATATTAATGAATTATGAGATGCCTAATGTAAGGTTAGTATCGTCCTTTGGGAATTCATGAAGAGTGGACTTGGAACTTGTCATTCCTACAACAATATTTGGTAAATAAGTATGTAGAGGTGGCCTTCTTAATTATATAAATTTTGGAAAAATAAGTTATGAGCGTGGAAAATTACATTGACCATGATTTTCACTCATTTTACCCTTTTCACTAAACATGATTAAAAAAAAAAGTTAAGGTTATAGGAGGTTTCAACGTAAAATATAGTTTGCTAAATTTTGAGGCGGAATAATCCTAAAATTACAATCAAATCACCCCTATATTATTAGGTTTTATGGCTCTCTCTAAACTCAATAAAATATGAACTAGTCTCTATTTATTAAGTTGAATTCAAATTAGGGTTAGTTTATTTAAGTCTTGTCAAAGTAAAAAGTAGACTCCATGATCAAAATTCAAAAGTCTTTGAATATGAACTTGCTAATGGCTACACGAAACAATAGAATAATTAATTACAAAGTATGCGGTAAACTTTATACCAACTAGATCAAATTTTTAATCATGAAGTAGTATATATATATATATATATATATATATATATATATATATATATATATAATATATATATATATATATAATATATATATATATATTATATATATATATATATATATATATATATATATATATATATATATATTTATATATATATATATATATATAGGAAGGCTCATGTAATATAAGAACCAATCTCAGCCGTTTATTAGTTTTGATCTAACCATCTAAAATTATCCTTTAATAATGGCATTTCTATAATTTTGAGAAATTCGTATTTGGAACATAGAAAAAAAAAAGTTGAACATAGAAAAAAATTTAGATTATAGTTAAAATTTTAAAACATAAGCAGAAAAAATTTAGAACATAAGCAGAAAAATTTAGAACGTAAACAAATAAAAAAAAAGTTAGAACATAAGAAAAATAATTTAGAACATAAGTTGAAAAGGTAATTTATAGCAAGGTAAAAAATTAATAACATAAGATCGAAAAAGTAATTTAGAACATAGGAAAAAATTTAGAACATAAGCTGAAAAAATAATTTAGAATATAAGTAGAAAAAATTTAGAATATAGGAAAAACTTCAGAACATAAGCTGAAAAAATGATTCAAAACATAGGAAAAAATTTAGAATATAAGCTGGAAAAAAAATAATTTTAAACATATGAACAAATTTAGAACATAATCTAAAAAACAATTTAGAACATTGGAAAAAATTTGGAACATAAGTAGAAAAATTTTAGAATATAGAAAAAATTGTAAAACATAAGTAGAAAAAAATTTAGAATATAGGAAAAAGTTTATAACATAAGGTATTCTTACATA